GTCACATTCATATTAATTTCGAATTGTCGTACACCTTCTCCGAACGGGGTCGAGTAGGCAACGGATTGATGCGAGGAGGGTTCGTACTAGTAGGCGCGGTACGGTAGTAGAGATATGAACAGTAATAATAAAGCTAAACACAACTTGTTTCTTAGTGCCCTTCTTCTTCTTTCGCCGGTCGCGAAAGGCAGGGAAAATGTACGAGTGAGGGGAGCACGCCACAGCGCGTTCCCTCCAGCTAGGTATGCATGCCACAGGGGCTACTTAACTACGGAATACAATCTGGTCTTCATCTTGGTGACACCTCTTCTCTTCGTCACCTCACATCAATTCGTGGAAGTCCTGTGCCTTCCATCCTGGCGGCTCCAGGTCGTGAGTGTCCAGGGCCCTTACGTCTCTCCAGTCGACGGCGACGGAACGAACAGTAGGGTAACGACGTCCTTGGCTCGGTAGGTACGACGAGGAACGGTGGGAGCGTTCGTAGTAGCGTGGCTAGGGACAGAACCCAGCTAACGGCCGACTGGAACACTACCTGCGTTCCCGAGTGCGGGACAGAATGACAAATACAAAGGCAGTTGCATGATTTGAGGTATCGACGCTGGTTCATATTAGGCAATAAATTGAGACTGGAATCACGTCTAAATAAGCTACAAACTGTGTAAGGTCCGACATGACGAGAAGTTAGTTTCGGCAGGTACCTATTGATCACGCAAGGTAGCCATCAAAAATCAATTAACTATTACAAAATTTGCAGGGGCTAGCTTCAATTTGTTGCCGCCATCTACGTTATTTAAGTCATACGTTGTGCATGCCACAGAAGCGACGCGTCGCTGGGCTGGGGTAGAACGCACTGGGTCGAGGTAGAACGATAGCCTGTAGAGTCGCTTGGAACCCCGTCTTGAGACTGAAGTGACGCTTGGAATGCAAATTGAGAAGTGAAGTAGTTCCTGATTCCCTAACCATTGCTCTGGTCAACTCATTTTTTTAGCCTGTTATCGCCTATCCTAATTGTCTCCCCATGCGTACGCTCTTGAATCCGGTTCCGGGTCTTCTCTCCGCTCTGCAAGACAATATACTAGTTTCGTTTAGCAATAGTCCTATACAAACACCATCAATATGGGCGTTCACCCTCAAGGCCACCTGGAGATCATTCTTCTGCGTATAGGTTTGCTCGCCGACCCAGTAGCCTTTCGATCCGATGCACAATTACCTGACCTATCTAAATATGTTCCCTAGGTATTTGGTGTATAATTCGACAACACTGTTGGTCCAGCACTTTTGTCAGCCGATTTTGGCAATCGCTTCATTCCTTCCATCTCGCAGTGTATTCATCTTGAAGGCCGTTCGATTTTTGTAATTGCTCTAACCACGATATAAAAGCGTGGCATCGTTTTGTCCACAACCACCTATCGATTAAATCTTAAGACGAGCAAGTTGTATACAATTCAATAATTAGAAGGCAGGCTAGAATGTGTTATCGCGAGAACCTAACACAAAACAAACTTAATAAGTAAAATAAAAGTATATGCTAATCAATTCTGAAGAAGATATGCAAACGATTTCTTATGATGCAATTGGGACTCCCAATGTGGATACGCTTTCGCTGAACGTACCAAATAGTGCGGGTGTTAGTGGAATAGCAAGACTTCGCAAACAGCAGTGTCCTTGCGGGGTCAAATAAATTCCTGCGACCTCAATGAAAGTCTTTGCTATACTGGTAGGCTCCACGAACATTACTCTGGGCGGAACACCAGATGGCGCTGTCGTTAATGACCATTTTGGAGTGGTAGATTGGCTTATCGATCTTGGTCGTGACTCAACTGGCAAGAATACGAACAATTGGGTTGCAGCCAAGAATACATGAATACTTGAAGAAAAGCGCAAATCGTACACGATGACGTGTCCGATTGTGGAGGCTGCAGCAGCTGGACATCTCGAGGAAGTAGATTGTGTGCATAGCAAAGTAAGCGCGTACACGATTATCGTTGCGATGGCTGAATCTGCACAACCCAATGAAGTGGAAGTGGTATTATTATTTGCTGAAAAACGATATATTCAACCACCGGCTTGCAACGAGATAGCAGCTGCAGTTGATCACGCTAAGGTACATGGTCTTATCCTCTCTTATGGAACAAGCCGCGGATTTTGTTAAAGTGCGCCGCCCATTGCACGACTTCTGGCCAGGACGGAGAACGGACTTCGGACCGGTATGGATTACGGTCCGTCCTGTTCTCTCCCAGGATTGATTACGCCATGATCACAGCCGTTGTGATTGGGCAATATCTGGATTACAAAATAGCTGGCTCTGAGGTGATGGAAGTAGCGCATGCGCAAAAACCCACGAGAAGACAACAAGGGCAACAACAAAGATATACTGTTCAGAGAGACAAGTATGATAGTTTTGGTTCACACTAATCTACCCACTTCAGCATTGGCCTCCAAGAACTCAAGCATCTATTCAACAGATTTAGCGATAGCAGCATTGGATTCTGCTGCTAGGTATGGTTTGCATAGATGTTCTTAAGTAGTTAGGAAACGATTCTTACTACGGGATGGACGAACACTATGACAGCGTTTGTTTGAGCGAATGCAAGAGCTCTACCGCGTCAGTGACGCGTTGGGTGAATATACGAGAGTTGGCCACCGAGCGGCTGTGCGATGGATTCTTAAGGCAGTGGGAATTGAATTCGTGCTGCGTTGATAATGAGAATAGCTCACACTTTATGATGGAGCTTTGCTTAGAATCAGTATGGACGTGATCAAGACTATTTACACGCGCTCACACGCCTTGCACTCTGAAGGAAGAGGCTTGAACCGTGAACTAGGATGTGTACTAGATGGAAAATTAAAGACTGAGCATTATGAACTTCCTGCAACGCTTGTTAAAAGCTAACTACTCCGGGCTATGAAAGATGCTATCAAAGGTGCGCGACGGGTGGAACTCATCGGTGGAGAATTTATGCTGGGTCTTTCTCTAGTGACGTCCTCGTGCTGGTCTTGTGGCCGGCAACAATACGTTGGAGATGCTGCGACTATCCTTGTCGCGTTGAGTTTGCTGAACACGAGCTATCTTCGTGATATGACACAAAACCTGGTAGACATTGTGGCAATTCTGCAGAATAGTTTTGTAACTGGTTGGTGACGGGGTCAGCCAGAGAAGCGTGGAAGGAACACGATCTTCCAAATGAGTTTCTGCTATCCTTTAGAGATTAACACAAGGAACTAGCTTCACTTTGCGCAGGCAAATGGCTGGCTTTATTTGCGGAGTTAGCTCTGCTCACTGCTCGGCAAAATGCGGAATGATCTCGTTTATATAAGTGCAGGGCCACAGTCTGCCAGGTTCTTCCTTGGCCGACTGTTTGATTGTCAAACGCTGGTGGCTGGTGAGAGAAGTCGTTTGGATCTCAATTCTCATACTCTCTTCTCGACTTCGTCACCGTCACGCTCATGAGCCCTTATGCCACACACAAGTCATTCAGAAGTACACAGGTTAATACTCGCAACGTATTCCTGTGACTAACGCAACATGTACGTCTTTGTGGACAAATACAATCGATGTCACCACCTCAAATCTGTCCTTAACACCGGTCGCTGAGCTCCGCTTAATGCTAAATCCACACGTCACAAGGTGACATACGATTACTCATCAGAACTCATCAGTACTGCGGGCTCTCTTCTGTTTGCGAACCGTATTCTCCAAGCTGGTCCTTCATTATGGACTCAACTCTTATTCAAACTGGTCATTCATTACAGACTCAGTATTCTCCAAGCTGGTCCTTCATTACAGACTCAGCACTCCGCCTTTTCATCCCACTCGACGGGATTCCCATCAGCTTCCAACCCCAGTGCACGCACTCCAAGCTGTGCACAATGACGTCTGAACGCCTCGACAGGCAACGGTTTCGTCAACATGTCAGCCACGTTTTCTTTGGACGCCACAGGCTTCACGGTCTTACCGCTCGTCGCCAAATATTCACGGATCTTGAGGTCTTTGATCCTAAGCTGCTTGGTGCGACGGTGCTTACCAGCGTGTTGCATCAACTCACGCGCACTATTAGAATCACAACGCAGTGTCGTGTTCAGTCTTGGCAATTGTAACTCGTCCACCAGCTGCTCCAACCACATGGCGTCATGTACGCCGGTATGCGCTGCGATCAATTCAGCCTCACATGTGTTTTCAGCAATAATTTCCTGCTTCCAACTCTTGGCAGAAATCAGTTGCCCGTTGCAATACACCGTAAAGCCGCTGACCGATTTCATATCTCCCCCTTCGGAAGCGAAATTTGCATCAGTAAAGACCTCAATGTGGAGCTTCTCATATTTTCTAGCTTCCACTATATCGTAATGCAATCCCATGTCTTGAGTTCCCTTTACGTATCGAAGTACTCTCTTTGCAGCACGCCAATGAATCTTGCCGAACTTCTCTAAGAACTTACTCAGCAATCTTATTGCTGTTGCCAAGTCAGGACGAGACCCACTCACCAAGTACTGTAGACATCCAATGAGACTCCGATACGGCACGTGCTCTTCCAGCTTGTGTTCGTCCTCGGTGGCTGGTTCCAACTTTACTGCATCAGTTGGGATTGGGATGTTCACTGGGTACGCAGTGTCCATACCAAACTTCTGCAAAATGTCTTGAACGTACTTCGTTTGTTGAAAGCTCACAAAACTCTCTGGGTTGTATGTGATCTGCAATCCCAATAAGTAGTTCACATTACCAAGCTCCTTCATGTTGAACCGAGCCATCAACTTCCTTGCAATAAAGTCGACGTCTCTTTCATCGCCAATAATCAGGATGTCGTCTACGTAGATCGGTAAAAGCACTAGACGCGACTCCACACGAATCCAGTAGAGCGCTTCGTCCTTAAAGCATCGAGTAAATCCAAACTCGAGCAGTGCTAAGTGCAACGTACTATTCCAGTTACGCGGCGACTGTCTCAGACCGTAAATGCTACGCTTCAACAAGCATACCCAATCTTCATAACCACGTTTGACGTGCCCTTGAGGCTGCTCCATAAACATTTCTCGGTCAGTTGGTGCATTTAGGAATGCAGTGACAAAGTCAAACTGCTTCACTGCTGCCTTTGTTAACCCAGCATAGAGCAACACAAACCTCAGAGTCTCAAACCGAACAACCGGAGCAAACGTGCCATCAAACTCTAGTCCCCATATCTGAAGACAACCCAGTACTACAAGTCTAGCTTTAAAACGGACGAGACGATGTTCATTCTCTTTAAGGACCCAAATCCACTTGTTCTTGAGTACGTGAGCACCTCTCGGACGCGGGACTAACTCCCAAGCTTCGTTCATCCGCTGTGCCAGAAACTCTTCTTTCGTCGCCTCGAGCCATCGAGCTCGTTCCGGTGATGTCATCATTTCATCCCAGGTCGACGGTACGTGTAGTCGGTTAGATGATGTTGACGCTGTCGAGCAGCTCAACACACATGCTATAAAGTCATGAAGCCGCGCAGGTGGTTTCCTTTCACGTGTCGACCGTCGTGGGTTTTTCACTTCCACAGGTACGCGTCGGTTTCGCTTGCGAGGAGATCCATCATCTTCACCACTCTCTTCTTTTTCTTCACTCTCATGTGCCACGCAAACTCCAGTGGTCACATTCCCCCTTTGCGTCGTCACACGTATTTCTTCACTAAACGAACTTGCATAATTGTCACTAGCTTGATTTTCATCAGCTCTGTACGGTCTTTCCTGTTCTGGGGATTTTGCATTTGCGCTTACTTCTTCCTGGTCAGGTAGCTCAGCTACGGGCAACTTTACAAATGGTAATCTAGTGCTGTCGATATCGGGCTTCCGTCTTTGACGATAGACCACATTCAATACCTTCTCAACATATTCTCTAGTCACCGTTGTCCGTTCAAAGAATTTTATATTCTCCTTGCGATGCTCACTAATGCCCCCAGTAGTCAGATCCAGCAGCCTATAGCCCTTGGTCTTAGTGGCATATCCCACCATAACGCACGGCGCGCCTCTCGTTGACAACTTGTTTGCACGGTAAACTTTATCCACAAACTTCAGTGCAAGACAACCAAATGGACGCAAATGTTTCACGCTTGGCTTCGATCCGTACATCTTCTCATGTGGAGTGATGTTATTCTTGTTGCCCTTCGTGCTCGTAACATTGATTGTCGCAATCACGTACGCTACGGCTTCTCCCCATAGCATTCCGGACATACCGCGGAAGTACAATACCGCTCGCACCTTGTTAAACAATGTGCTGTGAGCCTTTTCTATCAAACAGGCTTCTTCCGGCGTGTGTGGGTGTGAGAAAATCTGAATCGATTCACCAGCAAGTTGTTCAGCAACCTGTCCATTTAGAAATTCAGTGCCTTGATCAGAGTGAAAAATATTCACCACCTTGTTGTTCTTTGCCTTCACGTAGTTACGAAAGTCACGCAGTCGATCCACAGTTTCCTCCTTATTTTGCTGCAGATAAAACCATTGAAAACGAGAGCCTTCATCGATCAGGTGCAAATACACTTTGTGCCCTTCCATAGTTGGCACTTGTAAGAACCCTAGATCCATGAAAACTTTTTCAAACGGTATTGTGGTTCGTTGTGGAGATGTCTTCTTGAAAGACATTCGCTTCATTTTGGCTAAGTCACAATCGTAGCAGCTACCCTCCACCTTTCGATCACTGCGTGCCAGCTTCAGATCCGACACTAATCCCTTCGATTCCATCTCCTTGATCGCCTGCCAGTTCGTGTGGGCTAGACGCATGTGCCAAAGCGCCAACGAAGTAGACTGAGTCGTGGCTACCAGCACCGCCAGTGATTTCTTTCGGGGTCGAGGAATGACTACATCTGCACGATATAAGCCATCGACTATGCCGAAGTCGACTGTCCACTTATTCGGCGAATTCGCCAACCTATTCGTCTCCTTATCGTCACTTGTCTGGGACTTAAAACCGTGTTTCAAAAACATTATCCGCTGCGAAAGTAAATTTGTGGCACCATCCACAAACTCAGCTTCAATAGTGACTGGTACCTTTTTCTTGGTTACCACATCTACCATTTCCAACTTTATCAAGCCCTTGTACTTCGGCTCCAACGTTGTCGACTTTTCAATCCATTCCAATGTAGTCTCATTGTCCTCAATCAGAGAAACAAATGCTTCACGACATCCACAAATGTTCACGGTTGAAGCATTATCTAACACAAAAGACAAGCTGAAATCTTGATCGGATTCAATCGGAGAAGACTTGCTTGCTAGGCAGGGCGCCACATTTTTCTTCCTCATTCTAACCATATGAACAGGCTTGCCCTTGGAGTTTTCATCGTACGGGTTGTAATAACCTTGAAGGTCATCATGAGTGTCACGCCCCTTGCTACCGTTCTTGCTCTTGTTCGTCTTCTCATCCTTCGATTGGTCACGTTTTGGAGCGGTACAATTTCTTTCGTAGTGCCCCCATTTACTACAGTTCCAGCATTGTATATTTGTACGGCGTTTCTTTTGTTGTCCTTGATGTGCTCCACCTCCACGTCCAGATCGACGTTTCTTGCTACCGTGAGAGAACAACGCGCTTTCGCTTTGTGGTTGCTGTGGCGCAGTCGAGTAACCAGCTGTAGATTGCAAGTTCCTCTTGGCTCTCGCCGCTGAAACCGCTTTCGCCTGCTTCATTCTTTCTTCTCTACTGGTAAGTTTGACCTTGACTTGTTGAAGGGTGTAGTCGTCTAAGTTGTCGAACGTCTCCACCATGTTTTCATACTATTCACCAAGGCCAGTCAAAAGAGCAGTAATCACTTCACGGTCAGACACTTCCTCCCCCATGAGAGTCAACTCCTGCCGAATTGCCTCCACACGGTGAATATAATCTCGAATCGACTCGTGATCTCCATCATATTCAACATTTAACAGTTCTCGACGCTTAAACTGAGCTATCGCGAACGACTTCTTTTCGAAGTCCTCCACTAACGCACTCCATTTCGCTTGCCGGGTCTCCAAATGGCCAACCGAACACGTGTACCGTCATCTAGCGTATTCGTGAAAATGTCATTTATCAGCAGAACCTTCTCTCTCCATTTCTTGCGCTTGGATGCTCTTCCAGGAGTCCCATCACGCTCGGGCTTCGTCTTCCTGCCAGTCAGTATCTTCCAGCACCGACGAGCCTTCAACGCCGCCTTCAATCCCTCCTTATACGCGAGAAAATTTTTGCCATCGAATCACAGAGTCCGGACAGTGTCAATGTGACTGCCGTCCTGGCCTCCATGGTTTGGGCTCATAACCATGAGTTTCTGCTATCCTTTAGAGATTAA